CATGACTTCCTCTAGCTTTAACTTCAGCGGGTTCTTTTGTACCCAGTGATTTTTTTTTTTTTTTTTTTTAATCTCTGTCACGATTCCCTGTAGGTTGAACTTTAGGTGCCCTTTTCGTGGGCCGATTTTTCTCCAGGTTTTACATGATGACCAAAACTTGTAACTTTTATTTGAGATTTAATTAATTAACAGTAGGTATTTTTGTAAGACGAACAATTTTTGTCCTCAACTGTCAAATCCATCACTGTGGACTTAGTAGTTGCCCCATCTTTTTAATCTCCTCAATCCTAGTTTCTCTGCCTTGAGTATCGCTTTCAGAATTTGCATGAAAAGAACTAAATTTCTTCAAACATTTAACTGCTTCCCTTAAATCCTTGATGAAATTTGTTCATAAATTTCTGCACATACACAAAGGCGTTGTTCTTCGGTTGGTGCCTCTAATTAACTTTTATGGATGCAAAATCAAAAATATCTGCAAGACGACAAGGAGACATAAGCAGTAAAGCAATTCCTTTCAACCTCCCCTGTCAAGGATTTTAACTTCTACGTGAAACTGACACTTAGAAAGAAAAATAAAAATAAAAATTACAAAGAACAATAATTTTGGTCAAGCAGTGGTAGACAGATGTCAGATAATTTTAACATTCTTGATCACTTTGACAAAAAGAAAAAAATTCTAAAGAAAGACTTCAAGTCAATTAGCTATTAAATTATTATTCCAAAGAGAACTCGATGATAGGTCACCACTAACCATAGTTGACATGTTCATATCAAATTAGCTTTTGACGCATTAATTTCATTGATGCAGAAGACAAAATATGAAGATATATTGTCCTATGCAAGGTTGTCAGAATCAAAGTTAAAAGATGGTATACAAACCATATTATATACTCGGAATTTCTTCTTTCAAGAAAGTAATGTTATAGGCAGAACTAGTTACAATATGCAATCCACTTTCCTATTAACTTCACCGGAGATTATCTGGATTGAGCTGGTAAAAGAAATGATGGCTAGGACAAGAGAAAATACTAGACTGTGTATAAATGACTAATCATATCAGAGAAAAAGAGGGAATTAGAGCAGGGCAAACAAGGTGACAGGAACACAAGCTACTGAAGCAATTAGAATCGCACTAAAATGAGTAAATGCACCTCTGCCAAATCCCAAGCTGACTCCTACTTACAAATGCCAGAGGCTTCCTTGCCAATAGATGAAGAGCCGTCTCTCCATTTCCATCCTGAGCTATAACATGATTGAGATTAGATTTCGTAATTGAATGGTTCTGGGTATGTTAATTACTTTCAGTTGTCATTTCTTAGCTCAGAAGCAAGCCCGAAATCCCAACTATGAATATAACTCAACCAACAAAGTTTAATGTTAAAACTGATAGCCGGAAATGAATTCTATACAAACATACAAAAATATATTAATAATCAGCGATAATAATGTGAAAGAAATTATAGTAGCATAAAGTATGTTAAACGATGCTGAAATATTGTATCACTAAGCTAAGGGTAAATTGAGCAAGAAAAGAAAAAGAATTATCTTGGAGAGAGCAGTAGATGAGGAAATATTTGAAATCAATTATCTGCTCATCTTCTGAGTAAAGTAAATGAGCATGGACATGCTGTGAGAGTATTGAAAGTCAGTCAAGCAGAAAAGGAAAAAAATGAGAAAGAGATATAGATTAGAGAACTTGGCATGCATACACTCAAAAGTCAAGACTTAAACCCGTAATGGATCTTTTTCAGAATTGACATAGATATAACTTATTATAATTGGTTTACAGATAGTGGATGTTTAATACATACATACTGAGTTGACCTTTGTGTAAAATGAAGCTTTGATACACTTATTATAATTGGTATACTTCCATTTCCATACCAAGTTTCAAGCGTACCAAGTCATTACCAGAAACAATGAAAGAGCGGCTCCAATTTGCACCCAAATTCATAGTCAACACTCATTTTTCCAATGCAAAGTCATTACCAGGAGCAATAAAAGCATAGTCAGAATAACATAATACCAATACTACAGTCAGATAAGTTATATACGTTAACAGCACACTCGAAAACTTAGTAATGTGCACTTGTGTTCGCTTGGGACTTTTGTCGAACACCTTATGGACTATCGCACAGAATACATTAAAGACCTTGTTTGAGTGGATTTAATGAACCAAAGTTATACAAATGACATTAATATCACAACCAACAAGCAAACCATAATCACACACAATACACAATCGATTTTACATGGTTCACTAAAAATGATTTCGTCCACATGAGACTACCTGTTTCACCAGATTAAAGTGATCTTAATCACTCAACCTCACAATCTGTGTGTTTAAGGTTCTTGCTCACTCTTGTGAAGCTTGTTCTACCCTTTGTGTTTTTCTCCCACAAGCTAACTTAGCAAATCGAACTCTCTAACTTACTTTCTCATCCACTAAATGCAACATATTGTTGCGGTTCCTATCTGTAAATGTAGCTATGAAATCCTGAAATGCACCTGTTTCATGTATGAGTTTGTAGATGTCCTCTTGATGATGGCAAACAGCATAATGAAATACGCTCCAGCCATGATGGTCAACTTTTAGTATCAAGCCAGGATATTCATTAATAAGTACCGTTAGAAATTCAACATTCCCTTCGTTTGCAGCATCAAATAAAGGTTTTTCGATTATATATAGGGATATTATCAAATTGCAAATCGTTCAATGTAAGAACACTTAACAAAGAATGACTGGTAGACTTAACAAGAACTTAGTAATCGTATGTTGTATTAATTAAAAAGGAAAAGTTGAAAAAGAAATTTTTTCAACCACTCATAAGGCAAAAGATTTTTTAAAAAAAATCTAAAGAACTTAAAAATGAAAATAGAAAAACTACTGCACCGGTGTTGCAACTACTGAGCTACTACAGGGGATAAAGTTATTCAATCGTACTCAAGCTCTTGAAACTAGGATTGAAAATCAGGCTAGTCCGTCCAAATGCAATCAACAGCCACAAGAATGCATATTCTTGTTGTTTTGGCCTGCAGACCAACAAAGTTATGTAAAGAGCCAAGAGATTTAAGTGCAGACTGATTATTAAGATCCTGCATCAGCTGAGTTATGCAAAGTAGCATGTGATATTACTCATAATCCAATAATTCAACATTATCGTATGAAACATATTGAAGTTGACAGATTTTTCATCAAAGAAAAATTGGATAAAAAGATTATTGAATTGTCCAAGATGTGATGAGAGGATCAATTGGCTAACATCCTTACTAGATATGTCTCTTAATGCATATTCTCACAAGTTTTAGACAAGTTGGGCATGTGTAACATCTACGCATCGACTTGAGGGAGAGTGTTGAGATTTCCAAAATATTGTGTAAATCTTTTGTAATGCTTTAGTTATGTCAAGTATATGATCTCATAATATTCTAGAAATTATGTAATCTCCTAATTATGTTAGACAAAATATTGTGTAATCTGTAATTGATATAGTTAGAAGATTAACGAGATCATATACTCTCTATATAAAGGATGTAACTTCGTAGTGATGAATCAATGAATTGAAAATACAATTCTTCAAACTTTCAGAAGTCACCCCCTAATCTAGAAGAACAAACCACAACTAGATTGTATTTGCCATTGTTTGGAATGTAGATAGAGAAATGAATATTGATCAACCATAATAAATTAAGACAAAATACATATAATTGAGTTCAGACGTTTTAACCGCAGAATTTGTTCAATCAAGAAGGATCTCGTCATCATCTAAATTAACATTACCTGAAGAAATGCAGAGCAAAGTTGGAAAACCAAATGATGTTATATTCCTTGCTATTAAAAAGGGGAAGTTGAAATTGATGAGAAAATCATACCAACACTGATATATACAGAGGCCTTGAAATTTAAGAGATTGTTTCTTCATTCATATAATCATGTTTGTATATGTACTGAATGTATTGGCTTTCAAATCACCAACTTTTTTCCAATGCAAAATCCTTACCAAGAACAATGAAAGAGCAGCTCCAATTTGCACCTAAATTCATACTCAACACTCATTTTTCGAATGCAAAGTCATTGCCAAGAGCAGTAAAAGCATATTCAGAATAACGTAATACCAATACTAAAGTCAGATATGGTATATACGTTGACGGTGCGCCCGAAAACATATTAATATGCACTTGTGTTCACTTGGGACTTTTGTCGAACACCTTATGGGCGGATTTAATGAACCATAGTTATACAAATGCCATTAATATCACAACCAACAAGCAAACTACAACCATGCGCAGTACACAATCGATCTTACATGATTCACTAAAAATGATTACGTCCACGACAGACAGACTACCTGTTTTACTAGATTAAAAGGGATCTTAACCACTCAACCTCACAATCTCTATGTTTAAGGTTCTTGTTCACCCTTGTGAAGTTTGTTCTATTGTTTTTGTTTTTATCGCACAAGCTAAATTAGCAAAGCGAACTCTCTTAACTTACTTTCTCATCTAGTAAATGCAACATATTGTTGCAGTTCCTTATCTATAAGTGTAGCTATGAAATCCTTAAATGAACCTATTTCATGTATGAGTTTGAAGATGTTCTCTTGACGATAGCAAACAACATAATGAAATACGCTCCAGCCATGATGGTTATTTAGTATCAAACCGGAATATTCATTGATAAGTACTGTTAGAAACTCAACAATCCCTTTTTTTCCGTCATCAAATAAAGGTTTTTCGATTAGTTGTGATATCTCCAAGTCACCCAACAACATAACTTGTTGCCAAATATGTTTGACTGGTTCAACTGCTGGTGGGTGCATCTTTTTGTTGCCACCTGAAACTGAGTTTGAAAAGCCAACTTATTAAAGAAGTTATATAGGTCAAGTATGGGAGGGATATTGGATCCATCTTACCCATAAGACAAGCATAAGTTGATAGATATAAACTATTATTAAATGGAAATTGTTACAACTACTATCTTTGAGCACATATCTCTATAATTAATCAAAGAACCTACTATATGTAGAGTTCCAGCATTCCTCAAGGAAGTTGGAGCACCTATAATGTATAAAGTCCCAGCATTTCAAAAGAAAGTTCCTGCATGCTGCGTCCTTCTGCTCCTTAAGGTTCCATGATTTCCCTTCATCGTTGTCATCATCGTCGAAAAGAGAGTGTTTACCTGTCTTTGCAAGAAAACTTTTTTCAAAGGTCAAACGGGCTACACCATAAAAGAGTTGCTGATGTTGCTTGGTGAATGATATGACAGGCAAAGAAGCAATCATGCTAGCAAGAGTAGGAACCCAAATCTTTCCATCTTTGAAGACAATGAAAATAGTTGCACAAAACACCACCATTACTGCCGCTATTGATAGGAATAGTGTTGACAGTCCAACAACCAAATTCCTAGGCAACATAACAAAATCTTCATCTGTATATCGTGTGGTGTAAATGGATAAGATTGTTAGTATGGACCAAGAGGATGATGCCAGCGCTATTGCATCTGATATCACAAAAATTATGAAGGAAACTTTCCGAAGGAAATGAGGAGTCCCCGTGTCATCTTTGGTGCCACCTGGCACCGTGAAAGCTGCAGCAAAAGCCACTGTGGTAATAAGTGTTGCCACAATCATACATGAATTTGCAATTTCCTTCATCCACTTCTCACCCTCTTTCTTTAAATCTGTCATCTTCTTATTGAACAGATCTGTAGGAGTTTTCTTATCCTTATTTTCAGCTTCAACATCCATTGGATCCACAATCCTTTCCACTTCCTACATTTATTGATACAAAAAATCTTATCAATGAACAAAAAAAACTGTTTTCTACTCATGTACAGAAGAGTGATGTAAATATTTACCTTAAACCAAAAGAACTCCTGCTGCAACTGTTCTCGTGATGGCATCTTTCCAGCCAAATGCAAGATATTGTTTTCTTCGTCATCTTTGAGCTGAAGAATAAATTTCTTCAATGCTGAACTTATCTGCTGAATATTAATGGTACGGAAGATTTCCTTTTGGCGATTCAAAACAGCAACGTGAAATATGCTATGGTTTTTTCGGTCAACTTTCAATATCAAATCAGGAAATTCACGAATAACTATGGTTAGAAAATCAAAGTTTCCTTTTTCAACAGCATCAAATGTTACCGTGTAGTCAATTTCATCTAAACTTTTGATTTGTTGCAAAAGCCATTTGACTAATTCAACTGCTTCTGGGGGCAACTTTTGGGGCCGTTCTTGGCGGACCTTGTCGCTACCTGAACTTGTAGGTTTGGTTGAGCCAACTTCAATTAGCTTACAGAAAAATTGAGGCTTTAAAGATCTTTAAAATTGAAGAAAGACATATCTTGTAAAGACATTGAAAGAATGAAAGAGAAAAAGGCTAGAAATAAGAGAATATTTAGTGATTGATTATGTATAAAATGATTTTTTTATAAATTAAGAATGTCAAAACAATTCAGAAATTGCAACTCAACCTTCGAAGAAAAGAAGCAATTTGACGTTGAGGCAGCACATATGTACAATTAAATTGATTTAAGTAAAATTTTAACAGAATAAAAAAAATAGATCGGTAGGTTTGTTAGGTCATGGTGTCAAAATGGAATGTGAAACCCAAGACATTTAGCAAATGACTAATAAAGACGTGCTTAAGGCTTTAAAAAGTAGAGGAAATAACCTTTTTTATTGGCATATACAGGTGTTCGTGTTAGACTTTTTACATTATGGTCCTACACTTGTAATATAATTTCATTAAAGTCCTACACTTTTGTGCTGATGTGGATTTTAAAGTCGTGTCTCTTCTCTTGAGCAGTTGTCTTTGATGGAAAGACAACTGCATATAAGAAAGAGAAGTTTACAGGTCCCCATTGATGCAGTTTTAATTTTTGATTCCCAAAACCATCACCCAAAAATTGCAATCAAGTGGAAGATCCTGTAATTCATAAAGGAACAAAAAGATCAAAAGTAATTGCTATGGCTGGAGGTTTGTCATTTATTTCCGCATATATTCTATGGAGTTTTTAAACTGAAATTGATTGTATTGTAAATGAGTAAATGGAATATGAATTTGTTTACATTTGGTATCAGAGCATTATATGAATCTCTGCCTAGCATAAAGTTGTTTGTTGCAAATCTGAAAAATATTGCATAAAATTAGGATTTTTCCATTAAAACCCGTACTGTAAATCAAGCATAACTTTTATTATAAATAGAATTTGTTTTCGATTTTGATGTCATTGGAATCCTTGTTGAAAAAGCTTTCCAACGGTATATTATTTGTCAAAAACGGAGTTCTGGATGCAAAGTTATGCTAGTTTAAAGTTTTGGTTGGTAGTTATTGTTTGGGTGTTTTCGGAAGCCATTTATGGCATCGATTTAGGACGAAATTGTCATTTGGGATGTCACTGATATATTTTATAAGTCCACATTTGAGTTTCCCATCGAAAACGCCTGAAAAATGGCCGGAAACGGGCTGTTGAAAATCTGGAAAATCTGGGTAAAAGTTGCAGAAAACCGGGTCAAGAAGAACCGACCCAATAGGAAAACGGGTCAAAACGACCCGGTCAAAGACAAAAGTCAAACCGGGTCAAACAGCCCAGTCAACTCAGCCCAAACCCGTCAGTCAAACCCGACCTGGTCAACAGCCCAGACCGGTCAACGGGTCAAACCGGTCAACGGACTGGTCAACGAGTCAAACCGGTCAACGGACCGGTCTAATGGGGCGAACCGGATCAACCGACCCGGTCAAACGGGTAAACCCGACCCTGGTCAAGACCCGGCGCGTGAAGGCGCGTGCAAGACTTGCGCTTGCGCCAGGCGCGTGAGGGTTTAGGGTTGGGCGCGTGTAAGCGCGTGCAGGCGCGTGAAGAGCCCGTGGGGGCGCGTGAGAGAGTGTGCTGCCTTCTGGCGGCGCGTGGGGGCGCGTCCTTTGGTCACGGTGGCGCGTGGAAGTCGGTGACAGCTTATATGATGGTTTTTTATGTTATATATTACTTTTTTATGCATAAATAATGTATTATGCTTGCATTGATTTGTGTTATATTATACAAATTCATGTTATAAATTATATGGTGTTTTATGATCGTATATATTTTTGATTAATTTAGAGTAGCCGCAGCATCTAAATTATTATAATATATGTATTTATAAATATTAGTTGTGATCATATTAAGGTTAATAACATCGTTTGTAGTTAATCATATTAGTATAATCATTTTACCCACAGGGAATGTTATATTTTTATGATTAATTAGGGATGAAATAAAAATTATTCTTATTTCTTAATTAGCCCACAGGCATTATGAAATATTAATAATTTCTAGTTTCATCATTAAAGGATAATGAATCATAATATGTAATGTCTTTACCCACAGGGAGATTTTATGATATATCGATTCATTTATGATTTATTATTTGTTTTACATTGGTAAACTTATAATTTGTTCTTGATGTTTGTGCCTCATAATTTATTATTAAGCATGTTATTGAATTACCTACAGTTGACAAACTTTGATGATGGTTGAGGATAAGGTTCCTAATTTAAATGGTGATAACTACAAATCTCGGAGAGAGGCTGTCCTCTTCATTTAGGGTGCATAGATCTTGACTATGCTTCGTAAGGAAGAGCCACCAACACCTACAGATACTAGCTTCAAGCTGAGATTGCTTTGTATGAAAGGTGGAGCGATCAACCGTTTAAGCATGATGTTCATCAAATCTCACATTACGATAGTATCCGTGGGTCGATACCGGAGTGTGAAAAGTCAAGGATCTTATGGAGGCAATTCATGCACAGTTTGAAATACAGACAAGGTATTAGGAAGCATCCTAATGAGTAGATTGACATCCATGAAGTTGACTGGTATTAAAGGAGTCCGTGAGCATATTATGAAAATGAGGGACATAGCTGCTCAGTTGAAATCCCTTCAGATGGTGATTAATGATGACTTCCTGGTGCATATGTCCTGAACTCTCTCTCGTCTCATTATACTCCATTCAAGATATCTTATAACACACAGAAGGATAAATGGTCAATCAATGAGCTTTTGACCATGTGTGTTCAGGAGGAGGAGAGGCTGCTTCAGGAAGTGAAGAAACAGCACATCTGGTGACAGGAAATGTCAAGTACGCTTCAAATAAGAATAAGAAGTGGAAGGGAAAAGGCAAGCTGCATGAGGTATGAGCAAAGGTAATAAGGACAATATCAAGTGTTTCTTCTGTAAAAAGACGGGACACATGAGAAGGATGTCTAAGAGGAAGGCCTGGCTTGATAAGAAAGGTAACTCTTATCTCTTGTGTGTTATGAAATATATGATTTGTGTTTCACATAATGATTGGTGGATTGATTCTGGTTCTACAATCCATGTTTCTAATACCATACAGGGTTTTCTGGATCAAAGGAAGCCATTAGGAAGTGAATGCAGCATCTATTCAGGAAATAGGATGCCTTCACGTGTTGAGCTGTTGGAACTTATAGACTTATTTTAAGTACTAATTATGTTTGGATTTGGAACGAACCTTATATTCCTAGTTTTTCTAGGAATTTAATTTCAGTTTCTAAACTTGTACCATGTGGATACTCTTCAACTTTTATGTGAGTTCTTTTATTTAATTAAGAACTCATCTATGTGGAAATGGTATTGGTTGATGGTTTGTTTAAAATTCATTTAAGTGATACTGTTCCTTATAGTCTTATGACTTCACATGCTAACACTGGTATGAAACGTACTATTATGTATGAAAACTCTTCATTTTGTGGCATAGGAGATTAGGACACATCTCCATTGATAGGATTAAAGTTGGTAAATGCTGGAGTCTTGAAACTCTTGACTTTACTGACTTTGATACTTGTGTAGACTGCATTAAGGGAAAGCAGACTAACAAATCCAAGAAGGGTGCCAAGAAAGATTCTGAACTTTTAGAAATCATACACACAGATATTTGTTGCCCTGACATGAGCTCTAGTGGTCAGAAATATTTCATCACCTTATTGATGATTACTCACAATTATGTATCTCTATATGCTTATCACAAGGATGAAGCGTTGGATGCTTTCAAAATATATAAAGCAGAAGTAGAGAAACAATGTGGAAAACAAATTAAGATCGTGAGATCTGATAGAGGTGGTGAATATTATGGTAGATACACTGGTATAGGACAAGCACTTGGTCCATTTGCTAAATTTCTTCAAGAGCAAGGTATTGTGGCTCAGTACACCTTGCCGGCACACCATCTCAGAATGGTGTAGCAGAACGGAGAAATAGAACATTAATGGATATGGTACGGAGTATGCTGAGTAACTCCAAACTTCATTCTTTGTGGATTGAAGCTCTCAAAACTGCAGCGTATATATTAAACCAAGTTCCAACTAAGGCGGTTCCCAAAACGCCATTCGAATTTGGAAAGGTTGGAAAACAAGTTTAGTCATTTACGCATCTGGGGTTGCCCAGTTGAGGTTAGAGTTATAATCCACAAGAACGGAAGTTAGATCCTAGGACTATAGTGCATATTTATTGGATATGCAGAAAAATCCAAGGGATATAAGTTTTATTGTCCTAACCATTCCAGTAGAATTGTTGAATCAAGAAATGCCAATTTCTTGAAATGATGTGGTCAGTGGGAGTGATCAAATCAGAGACTCAGTCTCTGAGAAAAGATGTTTCAGACAATGCCTCTACATCAAGTAAAAGATTGGTTGTTCATCCAAACAGGGTGAATAATGAAGAACCACTCAATCTAAATCAATTCTGATGCGATTGTTTTAGAAGATCATTTTGAACAACCTCCAATACAAGTGGAACAACCAGTTGTGCAACAGTCTCAAGAGACTGCTGATACAACATTAAGGAGATCTACTAGAACAAAGAAATCAGCAATTCCTACTGATTATGAAGTGTATATGCAAGAGTCTGATGTGACATAGGTATGAGGATGATCCAGACACGTTTTTACAAGCTGAACAACAGTAAATCGAATTGTGGTATAATGCAATGATTGATGAGATGAATTCTATGGCGGATAATAAAGTTGGGACCTTGTTGACTTGCCTACTGGAAAGAAACCTATTGGTTGTAAATGGGTATTTAAAACCAAAAAGGATTCATTAGGCAACATTGAGGATACAAGGCTAGACTTGTTGCCAAGGGGTTCACGCAAAAGGAAGGAATGATTACAAAGAAACATTTTCTCCTGTTTCTAAAAAGGATCCTTTTCGTATCATAATGGCATTAGTGCCCATTTCAATTTAGATTTACATCAAATGGATGTTAAAACAGCTTTCTCAATGGAGATTTGGAGAAGAGGTTTATATGAACAGCCTGATGGGTTCATTTCAAGTGATGGTGAGCATTTGTTTTGCAAGCTTAAGAAGTCCATTTATGGACTTAAACAGCCTCCCGACAGTGGTATTTAAGATTTCACACTGTTATCTCTTCTTTGGTTTTGTAGAGAATGTCATGGATCAGTGTATATACACACAAGTCAGTGGGAGTAAAATCACTTTCTTGTGTTATATGTGATGATATTCTCCTTGCAACCAATGATTTGGGTTTGCTACATGAGGTGAAACAATTTCTCTCTCAACATTAGCATGAAGGATATGTGGAGGCGTCTTATGCATTGGCATTAAGATTCATAGGGATAGGTCTCGACATGTTTGGGACTATCTCAGGAAGCCTATATTAATAAAATTCTTGAGAGATTTAGGATGAAAGATTGCACCAGTGTAGCACCCATTGTTAAGGGTGTGACAGTCAATCTGAACCAATGTCCTACACTTGAGATTGAAAAGGAACAAATGAAAACTATTCCTTATGCTTCAGCTGTTGGAGCCTAATGTATGCTCAAGTCTGACTAGACCTGACATCGCTTTTGCAGTGGCATGTTAGGAAGATATCAAAGTAATCCAGGTTTGGATCATTGGAGAGCTGCAAAAAGGTCATGAGGTATCTTAAGGAACTAAAGGTTTCATGCTTACTTATAGACGTCGACATTTTAGAAGTCGTCGGATATTCAGACTCAGACTTCGCTGGATGCGTGATTCTAGAAAACAACATCCGGATATGTTTTTATGCTCGCCGAAGGTGCTATATCTTGGAGAAGTGCCAAACAATCTTATTTGCCACTTCTACCATGGAAGCTGAGTTTGTTTCCTGTTTGAGGCAACTACACAGGGTATTTGGTTGAGAAGTTTCATTTCTGGGCTTGGAGTTGTTGAGTCTATCTCTAGGCCAATAAAGTTATATTGTGACAATTCAGCTGCTGTATTCTTTGCTAAGAATAATAAGAGTGGAAGTCGAAGTAAACACATCGACATTAATACTTAGCAATAGGGAGCACGTTAAGCCAAAGAAGTGCTCATTGAACACATACATACTGAGCAGATGATTGCTGATCCTCTAACGAAAGGCATGCCACCAAAGACGTTCAAGGATCATGTGTGCAAATGGGACTATGTCCCGCTTTGTCACTATGAGAGGTAATACTTTCATTGTCTGAAACTTTGTAATTTAGTTGTTTTCTCTTTTAAGTTGTATACATTTTGGTTGGAGCAAACAAACATTTAGAGGACCTGGAACAAACATTGAGGTTTGTTCATAAAGTGATATCCACATTTAAGCGTTTATTTAGAAAGAGAGAATTGCATTGTAATACATGGAAGGTAATACTTGTTTCAAAGGGACTTACCGCTATGATTCATGTACTTTTTTCTCTTTCTAATTGAACATACCGCATATACATCTCTTGTGTTTTGGATTATATTAGAGTTTGGACCAAGTGGGAGAATGTTAGACTTTTACATAGGTCCTACACTTTTGTGCTGATGTGGATTTTAAAGTCGTGTCTCTTCTCTTGAGCAGTTGTCTTTGATGGAAAGACAACTGCATATAAGAAAGAGAAGTTTACAGGTCCCCATTGATGCAGTTTTAATTTTTGATTCCCAAAACCATCACCCAAAAATTGCAATCAAGTGGAAGATCCTGTAATTCATAAAGGAGCAAAAAGATCAAAAGTAATTGCTATGGCTGGAGGTTTGTCATTTATTTCCGCATATATTCCATGGAGTTTTTAAACTGAAATTGATTGTATTGTAAATGAGTAAATGGAATATGAATTTGTTTACAGTTCGACCCAAGATAAGCAATGCAGTCTCCCCATTGGATTGATGACGACGGGTGGCTAATTGTGGTTTCTCCTTCAGCAATTTCAGCGCAATATCTGATAACACAACAATCAAAATCATCCGGGATAGCTTAATTCAACCCTAAAGTAAATTAAATTCAAAGAAGAGTCAATAAATTAAATTGATAAATAATAATAAAATAGATTATATATACAATTAATTAGATCTTTTATACTGAAATGAAAGCTAAGGGTTTATGTCAATGTAAAAAAGAGAGGGAGAGAGAGAGAGAACAAAATTCAGGAGGTTTCCCTAACCCCAACCTTTAGTTTATATCCTACGAGGTAAAAGTCAATTAAAATTAAGATAATAATGAATGCTTACCATATATACCAGTTCTTATCAAACTGTGAATCAATTTGTAGTGATCCTCTTCATTTAAGTACTTATCCTCATTATTGGAAATAGAAATGAAGTCTTCATAAAGGAAGTTAACCAGCTCTTTATGGCCAGACTGAGCTGCCATGTTAATGGGCAACATCTCCTTTTCACCATGGATACTTCGTAACTCTCTATTCTTATCAAACATCTTCTTGGCAAGTTCTAAGCTTCCCGATGCAGCAGCAAGATGAAAAGCTGTATTGCCATTATGATTTTTAATTGCCATATCCTCTGGATTCATTATATTTACCAAATTTTGGACAAACACAGAGGACTGTTTTGCAACTGCGATGTGAAGAGCCGTGTCACCTTTTTTTGATATTTGAGCTTTTGTATAATATGGACGGCCCTCATAAACTTTTTTTGCTGTCTTCCAATCATCCTGAGACACAGCCCCATACAATTTTTTGATGCTATGTTGACCTTCCCACCAATAATCTTTCAAGAAGAAACAAGAACGATATTATAAATTTAAACTTATTCATTCAAACTGAGCTTCTATAATAAACTAAATATACAAATTATATATAGATGAAGACACTATTTACCTCGAGTTAAAACTCTTCATAGTTATTACTCATCATTTACTGAATTGGCAAATTTAGAAGAAAAAAAATTCATTTCCTTTCAAAATAAATTGGTGGATGAACCATTAAAAATAATTAACCCACCCAGAACTTTATTATTTATTTAAACATGTATTAATTATTTACTTCTCATGTGGTTTTTCAAAAATAATTAGGAGATATTTAAACAAAAAAAAAAAAAAAAAATCAAACGAAAAGAACATAAGTTACAATTCATCAAAAAATAGACTTCTCATGTGGTTTTTATATATATAAAATGATAAAATTTACTATATCAAATAAATAATTATTTATTAATATAATTTTCTTATATTAGATCAATATTGATAATTTTTTAGATTTATGCTAAAAAATGTTTTAGCCCTCCCAAAACAAGTTTTTGTTTCCATTACTGTATATTAATATACTAAAATTAAGACGATCCAGTTAAATTTGCAATTAGAATATCAACAGTCGATTATACTTACGAGACAATTTGTCGCTATCCATTCTTTCTAAGGGTCCTTGGATTCCATGAAGGAAGTCCACCGTCAATTTTTGACCCTGCTCAGCTGCTTTGTGAATGGGTAACATTTCCCTCTCTCCACGGATAATTGGTAGCTCTACATCCTTCTCAAACATCTCCTTGGCTAGTCTCACATCTCCGGATGCAGCAATAAGGAAAAAAGCAGAATTGCCATCAATATTTTTAATCGCCAAATATTCTTTCTTCATATATTTTAACAGTTCTTCGAAAAACGTGAAAGACTTTGTCTTAGCTGCAATGTGAAGAGCAGTATCCTCTTTTTCTGATACCCTAGCAGTTAAATATGCTGAATTTTTCAATGGATCACTCTCAAAAATATCGTTATAAGCTCCATTCCAGTCGTCGCTTGATGCAGCTGTGCATAATTTTTTTAAGTTTCTGTTTATCGTCCGTGAATCACCTGTAAAGGTGAAACAATAACAAGTTTTATACCTAGAAGAAATAAATTCATTTAATAATATTAAACATATGAATTGTCTACACAAGATTTTAGTTTACGTAATCTATATGTCATAATAAAAGTCATTAATCTTTTATATTTACATATATATTTTATTTTAATACATTTATTAATTAATATATTTAGCATTTAGATAATTAAACCTATTGTTTTTAAACAATATCAGGTAATTAGATAAGAAAAGAAAAAAAATATAATTTGAAAACTATTCATATATCTCTTAATTCAACAAATATGTATTATATTAACAAAGGCTGAAAAAAGAAAGTCATATATATAATATTTTATTATTTTTTAATCTAAATTAATAATCTACAAATATTATGTAAAATAATTGAACTTTACAAAAAGAATCTCGCTTTAGATTTTTAACTCTTGAACCACTTTTTGTTAAAGATGAATAATTTTCAAAATCACAATCCATGAGAAAAAAGTATTATTTACTTCTCCATTTTAAGAAAATAAATAAAAAAAGCAACTTCAGTTCTCTTTTCAACAATATGAAATAAAATTTGATTTATCATATAGTAATTTATCTCCATTTCTCCTCTATTTCAAAAAGAAACATACATTTTAAATTTTTTATATTATTAAGATTGACGAGGGTAAAAAATTTCAGCCCACTCAAACAAGAAAAAAATCTGATTCCGTCAACCTATATTGATATTAATTGAATAAAAAGTATAAGAAAAATAAAATATTTTGTTGATAATTAATAATAAAATTAAGATAATGAAGTAATAATATATGCAATTAAAATATCAAGACTAATGTGTGCTTACCAAACAAAGGAACTCTAATGGCCAGATTTAGAAATAATCTGTTACTATCAATTTCTGGTAAGGGGCCTTGGACTTTATAAAGGAACTTTACCATCGCTCTGTGGCTCGACTTAGCTGCTTGGTGAATTGGTAAATCATCCAAATGCCCACGTATATTCGGTAACCATCTATTCTTCTCAAACATCATCCTCGTAATATCCACTTTTCTGTTTACAACAGCAAGTAAAAAAGCAGTATTTCTATCATCATTTGTAATAGCTAATTCTTCTTTCAGCATGTACTTCATTAGTTCTTTGACAAACTCAAAGGAGTTGTACTTAGTTGCAAGGTGGAGAGCGTTGTCCCCTTTCTCTGGTATCTTAGAAGTTAAATATTTGGACTTTTTGAATGGATCTCCCTTAAAAATATTTCTATAAGCTGTGTTCCAGTCATTGTATGTTGCATCATATGACAATTTTCAGAGAATTTCCATTAAATCATCTGTAAAAGAGAAAAAAGAACAAACTTTATTTTAAAAAAAAAAAAAAAGAACTAATTCATTCAAATTGATACAGTAATTACTATTTATATAAAGAGTCAATCTATTTATACTAAATACAATTTATACTAGATCTCTATATATGCACATTTGCAATTTTCATTTTGACTTTATATACTTTCATTAATACCAAATATAACCTCTTGTAGAAAAGGAGTTGAGAGAAAGTAGAAATAAATTTTATAAAATGGTTTTCAATTAGCTTATATACAATGAAGAACTCATGCACAAATTCACTAATACTTATTAGCATGGCCGTCTCAAGGAAAGTGGAGGCCTAAGGCAAAATTTTTTGTTTTAGGCTTTCTTATGCTTAATAAAATTAAAAAATCATCAAAATTTATATGTGTAACTTTATTATATATACTAGCACTTTATTATTAAGAGAACAATATCCTATAAAATTTGAATAACATTGTAGGCAAATAAATATATTAGTTTATTATATATAAAATATTTTTAGGTTTGATACTAATATGTATATGTATGAAAATTATTAAGTATATACGAATGTCCTGAAATTTTTAACATTATTAGAGAATGTATTGAAAAGATATTATAAAGAAAAACTAAAAAGAAGAAAATGTAATTTTTTATCTTCTATTATTCTTAATAGAAGAGAATAAAAAGTCACAATTCTACACTTATAAAGAGTTTAAAAAAAATTAATTAACATTTAATTTTAAAACTACCAATTAAATTTAATGCTAACTTTTATTATTTAAAACTCAAAATAAGTTAGGGCTAAAAGTTTAAATTATATATTGTAAAATATTTATAGTTTCACATTGTCAATTATGATCTATTTTAATGCCCGGTACTTCTTATGTGCTTGTACCATTACAGTAAACAAATTGTTAATTTTGTTTAAGGAAACCAAGAAGATTATTAAAAATAATAAAAGAAAATGATACTTATACTCAAAAGAATACATCTTTAAAAAATATAACTAAAAAAGAAAAACAAATTCACAAGATAATATCAAAACAAATTCACAAGATAATATCAAAACATACCAGCTTGGTTTGTAACAAGATGAGATGCCACATTCTCAACTATTTCTTCAGATGACCCATCTTTTGATGCAATTCCTATATCCATCATTATTTCATTAGTCAAACTTTTGTAATGAATCTTATAATTCGATTATATATATGTATGTATTACCTTTTAAATTATTTTATACATGCGTGTAATATTTTAATTTAAAAATTAACTTATATATTGAAACATATTCATTAAAATTAATTTATCTAAATAGTGTAAAGAACATTAATT